TGTTGGCCATGAGTGGAGGGGAATGTCGAATTCTCCTTCTCCTGCCTCTGAGGCTTTTCCTTGAAGCTTTGGAAGCTTTGTCATCTGGCTGCTTTTGATCTACAGAGCAGAGAAGTGGGCTGAGGGCTCTTTTAGTTTCTGAAGAATATATTTTGTTAAAATATAAGCTTTTCATGAGTTGGTTTATGATGTTAATTCGAAAGCTGGTGGAAGTAGATATGTCTTTTAAGAACTTAGCAGAAAAACATTAGAACTTTTTAAAAAAATGGTATAAAACCATGTACTATACAATGATTCCTCCCCCCCTCCCAAAGCGGGTTGCTTTGGCAGAACTTAATTCAATTTATTTCATTATAATCTTTCAACCCTAAAGCAATAAAAATCTATGTCTGGGGGAAGAGAGTGGATTAGTGTGTTCATGACAATAATTCAAATGTATTAATTACTGTATATCAATACACACCTTGCAAATGTCAGTTTCACATTTGTGGAACCAAGACATTGATTTTGTTTAGCTATTGTAAATGAGTTCTCATTACGAGGCTCCTGTTTGCTGCAGCATTTTCAAGGCAGGGAGGGAGCGTTTGCTTTGTGCCTGCATGGGGGGCACTGGGGCTGCAGCTGAAGTCCTGAGGTTTATTTTACCTAGACATCCTGTTCTGTAGTATGATGTACCAGTTAGCTGACCATCCGGCACTTAGGAAGTGCTTACTCTGCACTGGGCCCCAGGTTCTGCTCTCAGGGAGCTTGGATTCTGCCTGGAGGACACAACATAGCCACAGAAAAGTAAGTATAGAATAGATACAAGCAGATGCACAGTGACTGGGGGAGTTGGGAAGGGCCTCTTGAAGGAGCTCAGCCTTGAAAGGAGCCAAGGGTTCCAAGGGGTGATGGTATGGAGGGCATGGGCACAGAATGATGCAAAGGCACAGAGGTGGGAAATGGGTAGTTGCTTATGTCAGGTTAGTGTCTAGACTGTGTGTTGGGCAGTAATATGAAATCAGCCTGGAAAGACACACTGGAGCCAGACTCTGAAGGGCTTTGAATGTCAGATAGAAGAGTTTGGCAATAGGAAACCTGCCCAAGATCTTTGAGTGGAGGAGTGATCTGGTTGGACTTGTGCTTTAGGAAGATCAATTTGGCAACTGTATAGAAGATGGATTGGGGAGGGTTGAGAGGCCAGTGATGAAGCTGTTATTGCAATAGTACATTGGCCAAGGGATGGGGGCTTCCACTGGCACGGTTGTGGTGTGGCTAGGGAAGGGAAGATAAGAAGAGATGGTACAGAGGTGGAATTAACAAGATTGGGCTGCTGATTGCATGTGTGTGTGTGTGTGTGTGTGTGTGTGTGTGTGTGTGTGTGTGTGTGTGTGTGACAGAGAGACAGAGACAGACAGACAGACAGAGATGGGGGTAGGGAGAGGGTGGGGGGAGAAAGAGAGAGAATGACTTATGAAAACTAAAAGAGGAGAGGGAATCTAGAAGGAGAGCCCCCACAGAGGTCCAGAAGAATGAGGCCTGAGAGAGGACTGTTGAACTTAGCAATAAAGAGATCACTGGTCATCTGGAGGTAGAGTGGTGGGAACAGAAACCAGCCTGGGAGGGGCTATGAACTGAGTGGAAGCTGATGGCTGGGGAGGAAGATTGCCAGTGGAGATTGGAGGAGATGGGACCAGATTAGGGAATGCTTCTGAGGTGATGGGCTGTGTGGAATCATGGAGGACAGGGACCATTCCCTGAATTACTCCTTTTTTAAATGAGGTGTGAGAAGGGGAGGCTGATTGAGGAGAGGTTTAGAACAGCTGTTGTGGGCAGCGGGTGGACTGGCAAGCCTCCGCCAAGGCCCAGTTGAGATGGACCCAGTCAGCGAGGTTGTGTGCCTTCCTTCAGTTCTGTTCAGCAGGACCTGAATCACAGTGGAGAAGACTGATGGTGGGAGGACTTCAGAAACTGTGATGATGGGACCGCAGGGCAAAGGTTTTAAAGATTTTGGACTGGATGGCTCTTGTGTTTATTGACATGTTGGCTGCTTGGCAAGGATGGAAAGTCCTTAAGGGCTGGGATTACTTTTGCCTTTCTTTGTATCCCTTGCACGTAGTGGGTGCTTCACAAGTGTTTGTCGATTTTGATGAACATCTGTCTCCCTGACATTCAGAGTCAGAGCAAGGCTATCTCTGTTGTTCAGTCTTCAAAGGGATCTGGAATGCCTTTGACATATGCACGTGTGACACCTTGTTGGATCAGAGCCTTGAAAGAAAACAGTCAACAACTAATAGGCATAGAGGAAATTTGCTCACTAGCATTCTCTGTGTCTTTGAGCCAATTGTGCGATGGGAAAGTTGTGGTCTGTTCTCTTCTAGCATCCTCATCGAGGGCGTCCTCAAAGTACATCTGGGTTGTTCCCATACATCTCTTTATCTTGATAAGGAGAGGCAGCAGCTGGTTGGTGGCTATTGCTGTTGTTTTGGGTGCCCTTGTATGTGCTAAGACGGTTGAATATTTTCCCCACGCTATGACTGCCTTCCTCTCCTTCAGCTAGCTTGAGAATCAGTCCCTCAGTGGCCTCAAAGCTTTATAGCCGATCTCACCTGAGCCTCCTCTGTGTAGATGGGGTTCAGTCCAGTTGTTCTCCTCAGGAAGCACATCTGGAATTGTGATGTTCGAGTCCAGATGTCCTGGGTTCCCCTGGACTTGATGGAGTTTATTCTCAAAAATCTTTGAAGATGTTTTCCGTTCTTTGGCCTTTAAATGTCCTTGGAATGACTTGGCTTAATTGAGTATCTTGCTAAACTTCCTTAAAACTCCCCCCACCACCCATTTCTGTTTTATGGGGCAGTACTACTCCACATCTTCCACCATCCTTCTCCACCAGATTTTATGAATGAATTAATATTCTAAACCAATGAAGCCCTTGGCAAGAGTAAGCAGTTGTAATTATTTTCCATTGGTCATATTTCTGTATGAGATATTTGTAATTGGCATACATGTCCATTTCCCATTTTTAGCACCTTATGGAAAGAAGTCAGGTGGGAATTGTTTTAATTGAACTTCATATAATTTTCCTTTTTTATTCTTTTAGTTTTGAATTAACTTTGATCTTTGCCCCAACAAGTCAGTGCTCAGTGGCATAACAGCAGGCTGATTCTGAAATGGCTCCCGTGTCAGTAATAAGTCTTTTCTTTCTGTTCAAAAGACATTAATTTCACTTTTGTGATGTTATTCAGTTCTCACCATGTCTAGCGCCTCCTGATTCTTTCCTTAAAGGTGATGTATATGTGTGAAGCTTCTGTGCAGTACAGAAAACTATGCTTCTCTCATTTCCCATTTCAGAACCACTTTCAGACCTAAGTTTTGCTGTCTTTGTGCCCATCATTGCCTTGAAATCAGTAAGACTCACTGTGATTGGTAAACTCCTTTGGAAGGCCTTGTTGAGTTCTTCATAGAATCTCTGTACTTTTTCATCTTTGTAATAAATCATGGCCATTGGCAGTTATGTTCATGGGGTCTCTTTTTCTGGCAAATGTTCACGAATACTGCGAGATGAGAAAAGTAAATGGCTTGGGGAATGAGATTTCTTGTTGTCTTTGGACACACAAGGAGGCCACCAAGGAGAACCTTCCACTGAGCTGTAGCTTACCTTCTTTGGTTTTCTGGTTTCCTTTTTAGTGAGGATACCAAGCTAGATAGGCGCCAGTTCTTCCACTGGCTGGAGAGTGGGTACTGATTTCATATGTAGAATATCTAGAATGCCCAGTAATTCGAGCTAAATTAGTGCTTCTATATAGTCCCCAAGCCACATGATTCTTGGAACCCAAAGTGTCCATTATGGCCACTGCCAAAGCAGAAAGAAACAATATGGGATCAGGTGCAATTTTGTATATTTCTTTGTTCCACAGGCTACCAAGGCCAAAGAATTCATCACCATGGTCAGTGTTTTGGTGGTGAGTCTTTCCATGCCTAGCTGGGCTGCTCCTCCAAAATGGATGTAGTTTGTTGCTAAACCCATACTTGAAGCCATTCCAGCTTGGTAGAATGTGTCTCAATCTCATCTCCATGCCATAGTGAGGAAGACTTTGTGGAACAGGTAGGGACTACAGGTCTGCTTATCCCAGTTTTCCAAATGAGGAAACTGAGACTCAGAGAGGTTATAGAATTTGTTTAGACCTATACAGCTGATGTCAGAGGCAAGAGTTTTACTTAGGTCTTCCTAACTCCAATTCCAGCACCATGGTGACCCGTCTGACTTTGGGGAAGTTCCTTAATTGCTTCACTTGGCCTCAGTTTCCTCATTTACAAAATTGGGTGGTGGTACTAGGAGATATCTATGATCTCTTCCAGCTCAAAGTGGCTTGTCCTATGACACCATGGGCATCAGGCACTTCAGTTCCACTGGCAGAGCATACATTTTAGCTTCCAGTTTGAGTCAGAAATGTGTGAAGTGCACATCTGATTCATATCAGGGTGGCCCCATGTGGGCAGACCCAAGTGGGGAAGCAGGCTGGCTTGGGGCACAGGCCTAAATCTGTCCAGGAAGTGGCTGATTAGGAAGAAGTGCTATCAGGTGCTGGCCTCTTGTTTGGTGAGTGACCTCCCTCTGGCTCTACTTCATTCTGCCCTGAGAGACTTAACCTCGGCGTCTCAGAGTCCCTCCCCTTAATGGGGCCACCTGCCTTGGACTTTCTGGGTCTTTGATCTGCTTCCCTCAGATGCGGTGACCTCATTTACTTCTGATGGTTCCCTTGGCTTGGTAGTTTGATTTGGTGTAGTCGAGCCTTTGTCTTTGCATCCCCCCAGTGCCTGGCACGTGGTAGGTGCTTAGTAAAGGTTTATTGACTCAAATTGCCTTGAGCGGTGGTACAACTCCAGTGAACTCTATTGTAGCTTCTTGGTACGAGTGGTCCAAGGTGGACTGGTTAAACTTGCCATAGAAACATGGCTTTAAGATTGGCAAGCAGTGATTATCTTGTCCCTTCAGCTCCTGTGGCAGTATCTTTCAGGTGAACACAAAAGCACCCGATGAAGATTGGCTCATTGGATTCTCTGAGCCTCAGAAGCCACTTTCAAGATTATCTAGTGCCTTTCCCTTGACTTGAAGGATGGCATGCCTTTCAAGTACTCTGGGCAGATGGGAAGCTCACCTGTTGGCATAAACCCCGCAGTGAGTAAAGCTTGGCATTTTCTTTGTAAAGGAGAGAGAGAGAGGAGGGAGAGAGGGAGATGGGGAGAGAGAGGGGGGTGTACCTCTAAAGGCTTTTTGAATTTCTCTGTACTTTGGTGAACCACAGAGTCTACCTTTCAAAACTCCCAATGCAAATAATCCTTTGTCTAAAAAACAGTAAGTCTTGGGGCAGCTAGGTAGCCCAGTGAATAGAGCTCCGGCCTTGGAGTCAGGAGGACCTGAGTTCAAATCCTGCCTCAGACACATGACACTTACTAGCTGTGTGACCTTGGGCAAGTCACTTAACCCCAATTGCCTCACCAAAAAAAAAGCAAAACAAACAAACAAACAAAAATAAAACAAAAAAAACCCCAGTAAGTCTCAAGGCCTGGTGAGGAACCAGACACTTCCTAGACACTCTCATTTCTCTCTCTAGACTATCTCAAAATATCCAGTTAAAACATTAAGCAACTGTTGGACTGCGAAAATGACACAAATGAACAAAGTTTTTTCTTAGCCTGCTGTTAGTATCTTGATGAACAAAGAAACCAGGGCATCATGTGAGGTCGAAGATTCGAGAGACCTTCCAACCTTCTTGTTGGAAACCATGGACTCATAATATGGGGTACAAGTCAATGTCTTCTGTCAAGTGAGATCCAGCCCAGTAAATGGGCGAGGTTTTGCCTTAGAAACATTTTTCAAAGGCTTGGGTACTACTGTGGAAGAGACAAAACCAAATCTGGTACCTACAAGCTATTGAAAATCCCATCAACGTCCTCCTTAATAAAACACCAAAACACAGAGACAGAAGGAAAAATGGTACCAGACAAAGATGAATTGAGGCTAAGGTCTCCCTCTTGATCGGCAGGGGCCTGCAGCCAATTGGGCCCATGACTCTGAGCCCCCACTCCAATGGCATTTGTGAGAAGAACCCCCAAGGTGTCAGACTGGGCACTCCCAAGGAGTTTCTTCACGAGTTGCTGCCCACGGGCCCAGTGACCAACTTGTTCTGTGAGTGGTCCCTTTTGTTGCTCCTGAAGTCATTGCGGATTACAGGTCTAGAACTGGGAGGGGCCTCAGAGGCCATCTTGGTCAGGCCCTGTCATTTTACAGAGTGAGAAACTGAGACCCAGGGAAGTTACTGTTGTGCTTGGAGTGCCAGCTCTCCATTTTAAACCGCATTTATCACAGGAGCTCCTGGGGAGGGGTGTGGGAAGCTCTGTTTCCCCCCCACAATAACCAAATGAAGATGGTGTCCAGACTATATGTATATGTGTGTATCTATGCATGTGTGTGAATATATGTGTGTATGTGTGTGTATGTGTGTCCCTCCGTCTACTCCTCTCCCTTCCTTCCCCTCAACTCTTCTTTCAATTCAAACCTTCCTCCTTTGAAGGACATTTTTTTCTGTCCTCTTCTTCCTAGGGCTCTTTCCCCCACCATGTGATGCCCACTCACATAGATCGTGACAGGCCCCTAAGATGCTCTCTCCATCCTCAAGCGGATGTGGTGGGTGGAGTCAGGCTGCTTGGGAAGATATTCCATACAGTCAGAGGCATCATCGGGAGGAAAGCTGAAATTCTACTACTAGTGGTTTCTTTCCTTTGCTTTGATCCCTAGGACAAGGTACCAAGGCAAGCTAACGTTCCAAGCTGATGTTTGGCCTTAACGCTTGTGTATGAAGGAGAGCAATTGTGACCCCTCACGTGGACCTGGGAGGCTTGAGGCAGGGTGAGGGAGGACTTCATGACGACGTCACCGTTTGGCACACTGAGGCAGCCATGGAGTGTTGTTTCACCTGCTTTGCATTGGCTCAGTTACTCTATTTGCAGATCTCATGTACTAGACCACCTTCAAATGCTGTTTTAATTTTAAAAAGTGTGTGTGCGTAGAGACAGAGATGGAGACAGACACCTTGATATTCTGCCTCTAATTTTTTGCAGTAATGACTCTAAATAAATGTTCTCTCCCTTTGTAGTGTGGTCCTTAATGTGGCGATGGAGACAAAGAGTGCCGTTATGGGTGTCAGAGCCCATTTGTCCAGAAATTGCAATCACTTAAGGCAGAGAGAGGCAGGCCCCCAGCTGGCATTTGTCTCTGGCTCAGCAGGGGAGCAGGGGCCTGAGCTGAGCACTTTCTGGGCATGAGCTTCTTCATTTGAAAGCTGTGTCTGAGGTTTGATTTCCTCTGGCATGGGACAATGGAGCCTCCTGAATTGATTGGGTGCATTTGAAATAGTGTAGATCCTTATGTGAAATTGCATTCTTGATTTGATTCTGTGTGAATTGATTATCTTCCCAGCCCCCTCCCCTCCAAGCCTCTCATTGTCCCAATTTCCCACTTGCCCAGGCATCCAGGCTCCCAGCTTCCTCTCTTTAGGGCCTCACTCTGCCAGCCTGCTGCCAAATCTTGTCCTTTCTACCTTCACTGTGTCTCTCTGATAGGCGGCCTCCTCACAGCTCACACAGCCACTTCCTTAGGGGAGGATGTCCTCACTTCTCACCTGAACCATTGAAATGCCTCAACTGATCTTCCTGCTGCAAATGCCCCCCTCCACCCTCTACTCATTTGCCAAAATCGTCTTCTTAAGGTAAAGATCTGACCATGCCACCCCCACCCCCTACACTTTGATCACCTCCAAGATCAAATAGAAAATCTTCTGTTTGGCTTTCAGAGCCCTTCATGTCTTGGCCCCCTCCTACCTTTCCTTACCCCCTCCTCTGCTTACATAGCCTTTGGTCTAGTGACACAGGCCTCCTTGTCTTTATGATAGCAGCTCAACTTCAGTGAACTTTAAACAGGCATCACATCAGAGAATTCCTGGCATTAGACTTCTCAAAATTCAATGTAACTAGCATTTGTTAAGCACCTACTATGTGCCAGGTGATGTAAATGTAAGGTGGCAAAAGTGAGACAGTCCTTATCCTACAAGAACTTACATCTGAATGTGAGAGACACAGGTATACATTTAAGTATAAACCAAAAACATGCAAAATTAATTCTGGGACACACTCCAGAACCGGAGGCTGTACTTTGGGGAGGGATATACTAAAACAGAGAAGTAAAAAGTGGCATAGTTGATAGAGCATCAGGCCTGGAGTCAAAGACTCACCTTCCTAAGTTCAAATCTGTCTTCAGGCACTTCCTAGCTGAGTGACTCTGGGCAGTCACTTAACCCTGTCTGCCTCAGTTTCCTCATCTGTAAAATGAGCTGGAGAAGGAAATGGCAAACCACTCCAGTGTCTTTGCCGCGAAAACCCCAAATGGGGTTGAAAAGCAACGTAAGGAGGGAGAGACCACCACTAACAGTGTGGGTGTGTGTATGTGTGTGCTTGTATATATGGGGGGGGTGGAGATCATAGAAGCCTTAATGTAGGATATGGCACCCGAATTCAACCTTGGAGGGAGGCGGGGGCTTCCAAGAGGTAGAGTTATGAGGGAAAGCTTTCCAGACATTGGGACAGTATGTACAAAGGTGAAGAGGTAGGAGGTAGGACATAGAGTCCATGTAAGGGGATGATGGGAAATAAGTCTGGAAAGGTAGGCTGGACTTAGATTGGGGAGGGCTTTGAATGCCAAGCAGAGGCCAAAGGGAGCCACCGAAGCTTCTGGCTTTTAGGAAGGTCACTTTGACAGCTGTGAAAGGATGGATTGGAGACAGGTGAGGGCCTGAACCAGACGAGTGACAAAAGGGGAGAGATGTTGTGGATGGAGAACTGACCAAAGTGGCACAGTAGGTCCAGTGCTGGGCCTGGATGAACCTAGTCAAGTCACTTAACCTCTACCTCAGTTTCCTCATTTGTAAAAATGGGGGTGAGAATAGCACTTTGCAAACCTTAAAGCCTTCAAATGCTAGTGGTTATAGTTGTTGTTGTTAAAGGGTAGGAGTGAGGGATAATGAAGAGTTAAGGATGACCCTAAGATTATGACCTGTGTGGCTGGAAGAATGTGGTGATAGCTTGGAGAGAAAAACTAAGGAGAGAGAAGGAGGGGGTGGTTAGGGGAAAAGATAATTAGTTGGGTTTTGGACATGTTAAATAGCTTGAAATAGATGCTCCGAGCCCCTCCTTCCAGCTTCAAACCCACATTCCTGTGACCTACGCTGAGTCAAACGGGACTGCCCAGCAGTCTCACCATGGACAGCTCCCTGATGGCCTGGAAATGCTCCTGGCGCATTGGCTTGTGAAGGAAGGCTCAGCTTTAGGGTTTGGCGGCCCAGAAGCAAGCATCAACAGGTGAGGGTGAGCGGGTGCCTTTGGAGTTTGCTTGCTCCATTTGATGATTCAGCTGGGCCACAGCGAAGCTAGCTTAAGAAAACTCTCGTTTCCAGGCTTCCATTGGCATAGCATTTTAAACTCTTAAAAAAAGGTTTTAATGGTATTTTTCTTTTGATATCTTTGTAACTTTCGAGTGATTCCCTTGATGTCACCAGGAACTTCTCTTCTGACAAAGAAGTACAGTTAAGCAAAATAAAGGAGCTCAGAGGCCATGTCTGATGATGTATGCCCCACTCTGCGCCCCTAGTCCACCAGCTCTCTGCTGAGAGTTGGGAGGCATGTTTGGCCACCATTCCTTTGCAGTGATGATTAGTCGCTGCCTTGAAATCTGGCTGTCTATGCCCCCCCCCCAATTTATCTTGTATTAGTATTGTGGTTGCTGTTGGTGGTGAAGACCTGTGACTTCATCAGGGTGGGGACTCTACCAGTGAAAATAGGCAACTCATGAGTAACTCTTAGAGAGTTGTCCTTGGCCTGGAATTCCTCGGGGCCTTTATTGAGTCTCCCAAAAGGCCTTGCTGTCATTTGCCCTCTCCACTGCTGATTGCTCAAGCTGAGCCAGTTGGTTCAGGATTTCTTGGTTATGACTCTTAATAGGCTAGCTGAACTATGTTCTTAATAAGTCCCTCTGGTAGTGTCTCTCGTTGTTGCAAAGTAGCGACATGGGCTTCAGTGTGGCCTGCTTTGGGGAAGTGAAGGGGTGAGGTTATGTGGAAGTGAGAACAGTTAACAGTTACTTTACACAGCGATCTGTCCTGTAACCAGGGCTGGGTGTGGCAAGTTTGACCCAGTTGTCTTTGTCTTTGGTGCCCCCCACTGCCTTTACATACCCATTTCCCTGGTGGGGATTCTCAGTGTCCTACTTCAGAGATACTATCTCCCAGCTCTTCTTCTAACTCTTCCCTGAAAACCTGCTGGGGAAAAGAATCTGCCATTAGTCATGTGGACATTGACCCCGTTAGCAGGCAGGCGATCTGGGAGGAACCCAGGAACTCCTTGGAATGATGTTTTTTGCTATTTGAAGGACACACTCAATTTGAGTTAGAGCATAATACAAATAAAGGTGTAATTTTTTTCCCTTCTAAGTTCATAGATTTCCCTCCTCCCTTGAAATTATCCACACATCTTCTAAGGGCCCATGGACCCCAGGTTATGAATGTCTGTTTTTGATGGGAACACATTTCAGTCCCAGACTTCCCTCTCCAAGTGCATCACGTAAGGCAGGTGGTACCCTCTGCCTTGGCCAGCGACAGAGAAAGTATTTAGGCATTGTCTTTGAAATAAGACCAGTAGGCCACTACCTACTCTGCCTATGAGTAAGGGCAAGCCTCTTAGGGGTAGTTCCTCCTCTATTCAGTTAACCAGGTGACAGCTGCCTCAAAAGGAAGGATTGTTCAGTTTGCTGGAAGAAAGTCAGAGCTGGAAGGGCTATTAGAGACCACTCACTAGAGGTGCTTAGCATAGTGCCCTGACACATAGTAGGTGCTTAATAAGTGCTTATTGATTTGACTTGAAGAGCCATAATGGTAATTGCTTTCTGCATTGGTACACTGGTACATACATATATGTATAAAATTTTCTTTTTGGTGCAAACCTATAATTTCACTAAACTCCTGGGGACTGCTAAGGGGTGCTGTGGTGGAAAGAGCACTGATCCTAGAGTCAAGAGGACTTGAGTTAAAATTTGGCCTAGCTGTATGACCCTGGGCAAGTCACTTCACCCTGATTGCTTCAGTTTCCTCATCTGTAAAATGAGCTGGAGAAGGAAATGACAAACCACTCCAGCATCTCTGCCAAGAAAACCCCAAATGGGGTCCACGAAGAGTCCAGTATGACTGAAACAACTGGACAAACAAGCTCAGGGAACTCCATGTGAGGGAATTCTCTTTACCAATGCAGATTGCCAACTACTCTGCAACTTGCAGTTTTAAAATGTTGCCTGGGAAAAAATTTAAAAAAATAAAAATAAACAAAAATTTTTAAAAAATCTTGCCTGGGGCTCTGAGAGGTGAGGTGATTTACCTAGGGTCATACAGCCAGTATGTGCCAGAAGCAGGGTTCAAACCCAGATCTTTGTCCTTCTAAATGTAGCACTTCATTCATGTTCTCAGATTAAGTGGCTTAGCCAATGTCTTAAAGCTGGCAAATGTCAGAACCCAGATTTGACAACATTGTTCCTGATTCCAATGAGAGAGAAGAAAAAGGAGAGAGAGAGAGAGAGAGAGAGAGAGAGAGAGAACGAGAACTGGAAAGTCTGTGGGCCTGGTGGTCTGCTGTGGTGGCTGTGGCAGGCAGAAAGGAGAGCTTTGTAGAGCTAGAAAAAAACCAGAAACAACCGTGGGCATCACTCCCTTCCTGCCTTGGCCATCTTCTCTCGCGTCTCTTAAAAAACCAAGAGCCAAAAATCAGAGTTTGTTGAAACCCAGCTAGAGGCCCAGGGGCAGGGGCCAGGAAAGCCAGTCACTTGGTATGCTGGTACTCAACAGCCAGGGGGCAAAATCATCTTCTCTATTGGTTCTTTTACTGCCTGGCCTTGCTTAAATATATTTTTAATTAAAACGATTCTTAAATTATACTGAACATCTATCTACAAACATAAATATTCACATAAAAGCAAAAAGATTCTGAATGATTAACCATAGACTTCTGGTATTGACAGTTTGTCTTAAAATCTGCGCAGTAACTTGG